CATCCTCACTAGTAGCAACATAGTAGAAATCTTTTACTGGGAAACCCAGATAAGAAGGGGGGCCCACAAGGAGGAAAAGTTACTTGCTCACCTTGTCACATACGAAATTTCTTCAGTGCGTTGAGCAGCCACATAAGAGGATAATTCAGAGGGTGACGTGAGTGATTTGAGGTAGCTGCTGGATTTAGTAGCACTGGTTTTACATAACGTGGAGCAATTCTGGCCTCTTGAAAAACTGACAGAAGCCACAGAAGATTACTGCATGTCAGCAGCCGTTTTGTGGATTATTCCCGTTGGTATTCCAGAAGATTAATGACGTCACTTTTGTTACAGTGCAAATGTACATGGTGGCCCATCCCAGCCAGTTTCACCATTACCCATTGTTCCTGGGCTCAAAGCACTGTTGGGAATGATTTAAAGTGTACATTACTCTCATGTAAGGCAAAGTTCTTTGTGATTTCTGCATCATCTGTATAGGTACTGCACCTCTGTGGAGCTTTGTTTGGAAAACTTCTATAACTGAGGAAAATGGAAGGGGGATCCCTCACCATGCAGGGCATCTGTCCCTAACGGGTTCCCACTTGTTCCCTCCAGTCCTGCTCAACTAACTGTTGTCATAGCTTTGGGAGGAGCTTTCTGCCTCCTGACACAACAGTAGTTTTTTTGTGTTGAAGTTCTTTTCTCCTTAGTCTCACCCTGTTCTTCCCTTCTGTCAGTTTTCTTTTCGTGTTTTTCTTTTGCTGTTTCTCTCCCTTCTGACTGTGAATCACATCTCCTTGAAGACGCCTGTGGCCCTTTCACAAATGCATTATGTGTAGCAGAAAGCCCCCAGTGACGAATGGGCATTCCCTGTGCCTCCTTTGTCTGGAGGAAGGCCACATTGTCAAGCTTTCATGGAGCAGGCAAGGCAAACTCGAGCTGATAAGTCACATTTCCAAATGCATTGTGATATAGTGCTTTTATGATGCACATTTTATTTTATTATGCACCAAAACAGGAACATTTTTGAGAAGAACAGATCTTTTCTTTAAGAGAGATGGTATAAAAATAAGGTTGAGAGGGGCAAATGGGTATATTATATCTAGAATATAAAAATCTGACTTGATAATCAATTCACAAGTTCTCTGTGGGCATCCTTCATCCAATGGTGCCACTCAGGAGGAAAGCACTACAGCCCTTCACCATCTCACCCGTATACATCGGAGCAGATAGTCCAACAAGGAGAGCCTGCTGCTTCCATGGATGCTCTACACACAGTCCGAGACTAAAACATTTGATCTGAAAATAGTGGAGGAATACTTTGAAGTGCACACCGTGCAATATGCACATTATTACTATTGTATGCCCTGCTGTTGGAGTCCTCCTCATTCTTTTCCTTGTTTTATTAGCCACTAGATTTTTTTCCCTGTTTGTCTTGAATAAAACATATTTATAAAAAACATAGCTCTGCTTTGCAGGCTTATTTTATTTTGTGATGTTGTACAGTTTTTTTACTTGTGGCTATGAAAAGTGCAACTGGGAAGGTTCATATTTTTCTCAAAGTATCATTTTATGCCTTACTCCCTATTGATTCGCTATTAAATTTTGGAGTGATTTATCAGCTTTGCTCCTGAACACATTATGAATAATTCAGTGTTTTAATGTTGTTTGCATCATTAGCACAACTTTATTTAAATTTCTTTTAACTAGGATCCCAAAAGTTGCTTGCATTTTCAGGGGGTTGGTTGATTTGCAGTGATTGCCGATGCAAATCAACCCTTTGACTGGGTAACTAGCCACAGTGGGTTCCTTTAACATCCAAACAGGGGCAGCTTCCTACAGTGTGGGCTATTTTTTGGGGAGCAAGCCACCCTGACAGCCTATGGCTTGCTTGACCCATGATGGGTTGCTTTGTCATCCACTCTTTAGAGCATGGGTCCTCAAACTACAGCCTGTAGGCCGGATATGACCCACCATGCTTATTTATCTGGCCCGCCTCAGACCTTTTGAACTTGTGTGGAAAAAACGACCTCTGAGTGAGTCCAAAAACTGTGAGCCAGCGCAGGTGTACTCAGTGGAGAGATGGCTGTGATCACAGTCACGCTTGTGCAGGGAAGATGGGCGTGATCGTGGTCATGCTTGTGGGAATCGTGCCCGGGGGGGGGGGGGGGGGGCCCCAATTTCCCCCCCCTCCCCCCCCCGTTGTGCGGGGGGGGGGGGGGAGATGGCTGTGATCGCAGTCATGGTCGTGCAGGGAAGGCAGGTGCGATCGTGGCCATCTCCTTTCCCCCCAACACGACCATGATCGCGCCTGCCTTCCCTGCATGAGCATGATCACCTCCGTCTCCCCTCGCCCCCCCGAGCATGATCCCAGACATTGTAGCTATGTCCCTTGAATATGGACATGCTCTTCCCCACCTCATCTCGGGCTTCTGCTGCAGCCCTAGCAAATGGAGCAAACATTTTTTAATTTTTAATTATTTTTTAAAAATTTTAATTAATGTTTAGTTCATTTTAATTTTAATTAATTTTTTATTTTTATTTTTTATTTATATCCTGCCTTTTTCCTGCAAAGGGCTCAAGGCAGCTTACATCTCCTCCTCCATCTTATCCCCACAACAACAACCCTGTGAGGTGGGTTGGGCTGAGAGTCTGTGACTGGCCCAAAGTCACCCAGTTGGCTCCATGGCCGAGCGGGGACTAGAACCCAGATTGTCTGAGTCCCAGTCCCAGCAATGTGCATAGAAATTCATTCATATTTTTTTCAAACTATAGTCCAAGGACAATGAACTGGGCCCCTGTTTAAAAAGTTTGAGGACCCCTGCTCTAGAGAACCACTTCCTCATGGGTTGCAGGAATTGGCTAGTGAGGTGGTTGGCAAGAGTGACAAAAGCCCCTGCTATTCTCCATGATTTTCACATGGTGCTACCATTGACAGCACTTCCTGCATTGCCTGGGCGACTTTGGAACAGCCATCAAAGGTCTGTGATTGTTTATACAAAGCAGTCCCAGAAAATTTTGCAACTGTGTTTCTAACTTCTTTTTAAAAATATTTTAGTTGTTTTTTCTCAAGTGTGCCCTTACAGCTGCCTGGTATGTGAAGTCTTGCCTTGACAATGTCCTTGTAAGTTTCAACTGTCAAAGGGACTGAAGTGGGGTATACACAGAAATTTACACAGATATAAGCTAATTTGCACATGGTTGCCAGGGCCCAAGAGCCTAACTGTCAATAGACAAGCACCAGATAAAGGAGGGAAAGTGATGAAAGCAGAGGTACCAGATGATGTGTGAAGGACAATATCATCCACTTAGCGAAGTAATACTCTCAATTTAAAGCATTAAATTGACTTTCCTCAATGCCCTCTACCTTTTCAACATTTCCCAGGTTTCAAGCCACTGCTAATATTTCCCTACTTTTAACAGCTTGTTTGGAGTGCTTACTGCTGTGGCTACTGCAGTTCCCCAATAGTTAAAAACCAACAAACCCAACCCTGTTAGAGGAGGCTGAATGGGATCAAATGAATAGGGCCCTCCTTGTGTAGGTGTGTGTTAGTACATTGATGCCGCACTTGCCCTTTCTTGTTCTGCCACCTTTTAGAGGTGGGCTTTTTCATAACTGTCAGGAATATTTGCACAATTATTTGGACTGGGAATTATATGCAAATTAAAGAGCTGCTTTAATGGTGTTTTTATATTTTAGCAACTTGGCAATTCGTTCTTGGCATCTCTATATTAATTAGCTTACAGACAATCTTGCCTTGTCCGTTCTCCTACTTCACCCTCCCTCTGACTGCTGAAACTGTCCAATTGAGAAGGCGAGACTACACATGCCAGGCAGCTATAAGCACACTTGCAAAAGACCAGCAAGGAATCAAAATCATGAACACAGCTGAACAAGTTTCTGGGGCAAAAACATTTTAAAAAGGCAAACAACTCCAGTTGTGCTTTTTTTACTCTGAAATTATATAAAGTGATGATCAAAAAGGAACAGGGAAAGGGAGACAAGATAGACCCTATTGTGGAGGCAACTGGGATACTGGTTGGAAGACAGAGAGAGACAGTCCTCTGTCAGGCTCTCCATGTGTTTTTCTGTGATTCCACATTGCATAGCTTCTATAGGGTGGTATATAAATGTTGCCTTTGAAAAGCATAGCTACAAGAACATAAGAAAAGCCATGCGACACCAGACCAAAGGTCCATCTAGTCTAGTACTCTGTACACATGGTGGCAAACCAGCTAACAGGATCCCTCAAGCACAATGGATGAAAGACCTCCTCCTGCCCAGCTGCTCAGCAACTGCTGTATGCAGTCATGCCACTGCTGGTGAAGGAGGTAGCAGATAGCCAGCAAGACTGTGCTGAACTCTGCAGGACTCCACTAAAGAATTGCCATTTATTCCCACCATTTATCTTGTGTTCCTTAACCAGTTAGTGAGCCCTAAGAGGACCCCTGCCCCTCTTTACTCCATGACTGCTTAGTCTGGAATAAACTAATTTGGAATAAACAGAGTCTTTGCTGTTTTTTATGCATTTGAAGCAGTGTGATAGTAAATGTTTAAATGTATGTTCTTGTTTAGTCTTTTAAAAAACTGATAGAATGTTGGCATATGTTCATATATGATTAGTTATCACAAATAGAATTAAATTAAATTAAATCACAAGTTAAATCAAGTGTTAGAACCAAAGCTCACACAAGAGGAGACACAGGAGGGGAAGGAAACATACCAGTGGGTGTCGGATTTCAATTGCTTTCTTGCTGTCCTGCACACCATGGGCTACCTAATGCATTGGGGTAGCTATGCTTTTGCAGGCTGTTGCAGATTGGTCCTTGGTGTGTTGAGGCCATTATTTCTATCTCAGGAAATTTTAATTGGATGGAGATCTCTATTTCAGCTATATTATTTCTTCCCAAGGAAAAACTGGAATCTTTTACTTAGTTAACCCTAACTTTTCCTGACTGTGAAGAGATCTACAATTTCTGTATTGTAAATCAACCTTTCCTTTCCCATCCATCTTTTTCAGCAATTCACGAATTCCCTGATGATTTATTCACGAACAAGGAAAGAAAGAAAGGAGCAATATTACTTCATATTACTGGTGTAAGTATGGTCAGGTTTTTCTTACCTTTTTCTGAAAGTTAGCTAAAGTGTGACCCCCAGATTTATTCCTTAATGTAAATGTTTTTTCAGTTGTAACCTACTTAATCCTGAAGGCTTAGAGAGAGTAACAGTTTCTCAACGGAGCTCTGTTTTCCACTGATGAATATACTGGTACAGGTAGTCCCTGTCTTATGTTCAGGATATGAACAACCTGTACTTACGAACATGCAGACTGCTATAAACCGTGTATGAATATCTCTAACAAAAAGCCATCAATATCTCTAGGGAACGATGCAATGTATTTGGCAATGCATCATCAATGGTGCTTAGTTCCCTAGAGATATTCATACATGGTTGAATGTATGAATACATTCTAGTGAATCTCCACCTTTTCTCTAGAGATAGAGATTCACTAGAGATATTAACAGCTTTTCATTAGAGCTCATCATGGCTATTTCTAGGGAACTACAGGATGCATTTGGTGACACATCACTCAGTGGCCACATAGCTCTCATGGAGGCCCATTTCCGTAGACCAAATGTTTTCATCTTCTCTAATGAGCTGTTTAACACCTCAGGCAACATGTTTGCCCCCTGTTCCACATAAGTCTTGTGGAACTGGAATTAGAGCCTCAACAAATCCTCAACTGGCTCTACCCTTTACATTAACCTATTGGGACTACTTTGGCATAGATTACAGTGTTTCAAATGTAATAACCAGGCACTAGGCTATATTGCCCTAGCAGTCCATTATCAGAGAACTTCGGAAGATAATGAGGAACTGGTAAGTCACTTTTAAAGATCCAAGTTATTTTCTATTGGGCTTACATTAAAATTAAAGATGGCCAGACAGTGATGCTCAAACATTAGGCCAGGCATAAAAGGCAAGTTATTATGATTTTTTTCAGTACTATATACCTACACACATACATACAGATTCTCTCGCTCTTTCTCTTCAGTACCTGTAGTTACTTTATTTTACTGCATTATTATTACTATTATTACAATGCTGAATTGTGTTTAAGATGTTTTAGATAGTGTGGACATGTTTCTTAACTGTTTTGTATACATGTACTTAATATACATACATTAAGACAGACATTTGGCTTATTCATATAATCTGACTTACATTCAAATCTGAGTTAAGGACATTCTCAGGAACAGAACTTGTTCGTAATATGGGGACTATCTGTACTGAAAGTAATTGAAGGGGCACAGCTCTGCAACAGAGCACATGTTTTGAATGTAGATGGCCTCGGGTTAGTCCACTTAATTGCCAGTTAAAAGGTTCAGGTAGCAGGTAGTGGACAGACAATTCTGGAGAACCATTGCCAGTCAGAATAGACTATATGGGCTCAATCAGTCTTCCTGAACCAGATGCCTTCAAGATACATTGGATTATTTTTCTTCATTCTGAAAGGGCAGCTTTTCATTTTGTTTTTGAATTAATCCTGACACAATTAAGGGGCAATGCATGTATCCCCCTTACTGTGGATCTCCAGGTAGTGTGTTTGGTATGGTAGCCACTTGTGAGCTTATTAAAAAAACACTCTGCATCATCAAAAAGAAAAAAAAAGTAGATTAGAGGTTTGGTTTGCATAAAATGTGCATATTTTAATCTATACATGTAAATTTAATTTATTGTAGATGCACATTTAGAAATTATTATTACGATTCAAATAGAAATGCAGTACATTTCACCACAGTGGGGATGGTTGTGAGCAGGTGACTGGTGTGCCTTGCTCATTCTGTTGTCCGGCTGTGAGGTGCTGATGGGCAGCTTCACAGCCCACCATGGTTGGGCTCAGTTAGGCTTAGTTATTAATTAGGACAATCTAAGAAACAAGTCAGTAAACAAGCAGTGTTCAAGAGCACCGTGTCATCAGTTGAGTTATTGGTGGTTTGCAGAAAAGACATCTGAGGCATAGTCAAGGTCCGAACACAAACAAGCAATCTAACAGAAATGTACCCCAAAAATCAGTCCAGCAAGATTCCATAGAAGCTGAACAACAAGGCAACATCAGGATACAGAACAGTAGCTCTGAAGTAAGACATTGTCCCATCAACAGCAAGACTGAAACGGAAGGCTTATATAGTCAGAACCTCTTTTTTCACCATAATTTTATCTTTGTCATTTTTCTTATTCTTAATTTTGTAATCTGGCTTGAAAAAGCATTCTGCCTTGGAAAGCAGTGGGTGTATATACATACATAAATAAATAACATTACAGGATAAAACACATCCACATAAGCATTCTGTTCAGTCATAACAGATAAACCTCAAGGAAAACAAGAAAGAAAAGGTCAACAGATAAATTTGCACAGCTGTACAAAATTCTCATAAAGTTTAGAGGTATGGGGAAAGAACTGCATGGGAATTCTTTGTACTTCTTTGTACCACAGTACTGTTGGCCTGGTTCACATGATCAAAATAAGCACTGTCACTTATTCAAGCCATGATGCTTATTTAAATTAAGGTGCATGTGGGGCACAATTTTCCTAATCAGAGCCAAGGCACAGTTTATTGTATTGTCCAAATTTGGGCAGGATGGCCTGTTGGAAGGGGAAACCAATCTCCAATACTCCTACAGCCATCCATGAGTCATTCTGATGGTGCAATCTAATACACTGCCTGAACCCTTGTGCACACTGCCCTCTGCATTTCACTTGTAATCCCTTATGGGGCTTTCTTTTTCCTTGCAGGCTCTGTATATGTTCTATGCCTTGGCTATTGTATGTGATGATTTCTTTGTTCCATCTCTAGAGAAAATCTGTGAGGTATGTGAACATGAATTTCTCTCTTTTACGAACCTGTTCATTTGTGCTTTACATGCTTGCCTAGCTGCCTGTCCAACAACAGGACCTATATGATTTACTCTTTTAACAGGGCCTTTATGTAGTGTGTTGGCTCCCACCATATATAATGTCCTTCCAGTTGAGATCAGTCATGAACCCACTTTGTTTTGGGCATTTGCCAAAGATTTTTATTTTAGGCAAATCTTTCCTCACTGATGACTAATTCCAGCCACTTATATTTCCGTTTTTATTTGTGGATTTATATATTTATGTTTTAATTTGAACGTTGCTCTAATATCTTAATTTGGAACAATTTATAAATAAAGAAATAAATCCTTCACAGTGGTCTCATAGTCCTCTGACAGTCTCTTCCAACCAGTTTCCCCTCCAGATGTGTTGTACTGTAACTCCTGTCCAGAATGATGGGAACTGCAATCTCATCACATCTGAAAGGTTTCTTTAAACTAACCATTGATGGTCTGCCATTGAGGCCATGTCAGTTGAGGATGGCATTTTAAGGTGTGGCCTCACTGCCCCCTCACATCTAGTGCTGGAATTCTGTTCTTTGAGCAGGATAGGTGTGTGATGCTGAAATGATTCTTTCTTTCTTTCTTTCTTTCTTTCTTTCTTTCTTTCTTTCTTTCTTTCAGAAACTTCATCTGAGTGAAGATGTTGCAGGAGCCACATTTATGGCTGCAGGAAGCTCAACGCCAGAATTATTTGCATCTGTCATAGGTAAATAAGCTACCTAGACAGTTTGTATACAGTTTATGCAACCATACAGTTGCATCTGCATTCAGGATACACATGTTCTTTGAATTACCTGCTTGTCTCTTGGGATTTAACACAAGATTAGTGAAAATGGATTTTCTACATCCTTTTGACAGCTAAAACACTAATATTATAACATTGGAAGAATAAATAGGCACTTGACATAGCAACATGGGTGGAAGAGTTAATGAATCTTCTGAGTTTTGAATGGCTAGGCTTTAGTTGTAAACTACAGATGGAGAAATACATGGATATTTGGGCTGCTTTTGTTGAAGCCTATGCATAATTATTTTGTATAATAGTAGCATCTTCTGTTATATACTAATACATAGGGATATATAATATATATAGCTAGCGTTATAGAGCTCTTTAAATGTTATTGAAAGCTTTGTAAAGTTTTAGTTTATTTTATCCTAGTTTTGCATTAATCCCTTTCCCTTTTGTAATACACAGTACAAACAAACTTTAAACAAACCAGTTGTGTCTCCATATACCACTGCTCTTCAGAATAATTACTCCAGTAAATAGTCTGCTTTGGATGCTGTCAGCAGTTTTCCATTTTTGGACGGTGCTTACTTTAGAGATCAGGTGTGTTCCTGCATCTCATCCAGTCCTCAAAATCCACAAGTGCCAGGATTCTGTTGCAGCACAGTCACAGCTGGGGAGGAGAGGGTCAACCCTGAGATTACCCCGCCCCCCCCAGAAGTTACCTCCATGCAGCAACTGATTCCAGTGAGAGGAGTTTTTCAAGCCTAATTGCTGCAGCAGGGAAGGCAGTTAAGGTAACGCTTCTTGCCCCTAGCTGCAACTTCACCATCAATTCTTCCATACACTACAATTAGATCTTAAAAAAGTGTTTCTAGTTGAGCAAATCATAACCTGCTGGGGCAGGAGCTACGTTGAGCAGGAATGTGAGCTTTTTGGGAAGGTCCCATGGGCCACCAGTTCCCATCTCCTATTAGTATTGAAATCTATTTCTTGAAGGCCAATGCTATTATAAAAGTGTTGTTGTTTTTTTTTCAAGTATCACTGCTGCTCACCCCCCTCTCCTCCTTTCTTTCTGTCTCCAGGTGTGTTTATAACTCATGGTGATGTTGGAGTTGGAACCATTGTTGGTTCAGCTGTTTTCAATATCCTTTGCATCATTGGAGTCTGTGGAATATTTGCTGGACAGGTTGGAAATGTTCTTTATTCTCTACCTTACCATTACTTCTGCCTTGGATAATCAAGAAAATATAATATCAGATAAATCTTTTTGGAATACCAAAGGCATCATTTGACTATAAAGAGAATACATTGGCTTCTTTGCAGTATATGTGCAAATATGCAGGTAGTTCTGAATATAAATATTAGCCTGAGAAAATACACCTTTTGCTTCGTGCTGTTCAGGTCTGTGTTCCCTCCAGTCAGATGAAGATAAATGGTTCTAATGCAAAGACTTTATTATGCTTAAGCTGACCAGCTAGGCTGGCTTCATAATGCAAAAGAAGTCTATTGCAGTAAGCTTTAAGAGAAGCAAGAAACTAAGTTAGAATGCTGACTATTAGGGAAATTTTGAATCAAGCTCTGTTAATGAATAGAGCTTGATTCTAAACAGGCTAGTTCCACCCTCTTCCCAAAACTGAAAAGAGTTAGTTTCACTTGCAAGGTGGACCCTGCTGTTTAAGTGCCAGCCACTTGGAATGTCTCACTCTCAGCCTGATGCCCTGTTGCTGGATTAAGGAAGTTGGGTTTCCCCAGTCCACACCAGCTTGCTCACTAAGTTTTCCCACGGAGTTTGCAGCTGTCTGTTTCCCACTGTACGCCTATGTTGTCTCAGAGCCCTCCCACCATCGTGATTCAACCTCCTTTTCTGAGTCTGAATCTGATTCAACAATGAATCTGATTTAACTTAGAAATGGGCCCAATCCCTACACCTGCAGGTGTGAACCATGACTTACTGCCAAGCCTACTAAGAGAAGCCACTCCATTTGACCTTGTTCATAAGGACCTTCTACCAGCTTAACTAATATGCTTAGGAAAAGTCATCCTAAGGACCCTCTATTGTGTGTAGTGGATACTTCTGAGTCTCAGAAGATTCAGTGACTAAAATGAAGGGAAGCTTTCAGCCTGTTGGAATGTGCAGAAAAATCTGTACAAAAGCCAGGCGAGGGGAAGGAGGCAGGGCCATCAGGTGACCAGGGAGCTGAACTGGGACTCTAGGTTCAGGCCCCCTGCCATATGGGTTCCGTGGCTCTAGTCTTTGTCAGGGAGAAAAGTTTGTCTTTTTCATCTGTTCTTACCATGTTTCTGAACATGCAAAAATAAAGTAAGCTCATCTGAATAACAAGTGCATTACGGAAATAATGCAGACTCACCTGCCTTATGTTCCAGTGGCACCACCTGTTTCTCTCTGGCAAATATGAGTTTGCCAGATAAACTGCAATAACTGAAGCACCTTTATTAATTAATTAATTTATTTATTTCTGCCCCATTTCCATAAGCTCTGAGCAGTTTACAAGAAATTAAAACCAACAATGATTGGAATTTGATGAAAAACAAACATATTAAGTAAAACTGATCTGAGAACTAATCTGTGGAGGCCTGTAGGAAGAGATACATGTTTAGCTCCATGTTGAAGGTAACAATCTGGGCTATCAGTCACATTTCTCCTGACAGATTATTCCACAGTTTAGGGGTAACCACTGAGAAAGTCCCCTGGGTAGCTGACATTAATCTTACTGAAGGAGACTTCAGAAGATTATCCCCAGGGGACCTTAGCTGGCAGCGTGAAATATATGGGCAAAGACTCTCCTGAAGGTATTTTGGACTCAAGCCATGAAGGGCTTTAAAGGTAATTATCAACACCTTGTACTGTATCTGGAAACGAATTGTCAGCCTGGTCACCATATTTTGTACTAGTTGCAGTTTCCACAGTAGGCACATTGCAGAAATTGAGCCTAGAAGTTTCCAGTGCATGCACTACTGTTTTCAGATCATTCTCTTCCAGGAAGGGACACGATGGTTTCCCATTGCTTCCACTGGGAAAGGTGGCCACCTATCCTTAATTCCCTCATTTTTCTCAGTGGAATTTAGTATATTGCTTAAATTGCTTATAATTTAGCTTTTGCTGAATTATGAGCACTGCATTTGTAGTTTTGGTCTCCATTTGACAGCTCTTTAGAAATAGATTGGTGGTTTTGGTTAATTTTCTGTTTCCAAGAAATGTGAAAAGTGGTTTACCGCAGCTGCAGTTCAGTGTGAGTTACGTTCTTTACCAAGGGAGATTTTAAAGTCCATTCTATAGATGCAGAGGATGTGAACTAGTAAGTTCCTTTCTTACACCCTCTCTTTTTCAAAACTGGCTTAGAAAAAAGAAAGGTTGCTATTACGGTAATGCACTTTATGTGGCGATACCCTTGAGCTTAGCTCAGAAATGGCTTCTAATGCAGAATGCAGTGGCCCAGATGCTGCATGGGGCACCTGGCTGAGCAGCTGCACTGGTTTTCTGTTGCACTGGTCTGCAAGGAGAAAGTGGCTCAACTCTTGTCCTCATCCCCTATTTTGCATACAAAATATAGGTGGTATGCCTTTTTACCACTGCCATCATGCTGCACTTTTCAGCAGAAGTTATCTGCATTGGTTACACAGTTTCGAGGCATCTTGGTTTCTGAGGGAAAATATCACTGTTTGTTGGAAATGTTAGGCAATGACACTTTCACATGCCACCAGACGTAACTGTATGATGTGTAGATTTGACCAAGACAAATGCACCTTGCAATAAAAGAACAATAGTTAGGTAATAATCTTTAGTCTCAAAGTGGAGATAAATTTATACACTTCCATGTGGTACTATTTTCATTGTTCTACCGTACTTTGTCAAGACGTTACGAGGCATCATGATGATCAGACACCTCCCTCCCTTGTAGACAAATATACTCACCTGTGTAAAATCTTTATTGTGAAATATCTTGAAAACTTTAGCCAACCAGCACCTTTATCACCTGTTTTCTAATTCATCTAATCAACATATGTAAGAATTAGCACATTTTATCTCAGAGGTCGATAATTTCCCAAAATTTGTAGACCAGTGTTAGCTACTGAGCCAGTTTCAAGGTCCTGTAGTTGCCATCTAAAGCCTTAATCTACCCAAGTTACTGGGCAGATTGACATCCCTAAACCTGTGTAATTACTAAGATCATTTGGGGAGGCTTTCCTGGGTGTGCAACAACCTGCAATTTACCAACTTTACAGCAGTGAACAGCTGGCCCAATTCATGGTATGCCCTCCTTCCCTTCTGTTGTTTGGGAGGTGTCAAATGTGGCATGTTTTAGGTGCCTGTTAAAGAACCCCGCTTCCCCAAGTCTTCCCTGATTGACCATATTTCCCAGTTCATTTGTTTTAATCTTGTTTCAAATCATGTAATCATTTTAACAGATGAGTTTTTAAAGAAATGCATGATAATTAATAGAAGAACTGTTAAAGGGCAGAATCATATGCATGTTTAGTCAGGAAAAACTTCAAATGCACTATAAGCATTTGCCAGCCAGCTGGGAATTATATGCCTTTTCCTGTCTAAACATGCATAGGAATCTGCCCTAAACTATGTAGGGCACAATCCACTTGAAATATGCTTAAGCCCCTAAACTCAGAGAATTATGGGCATCTTGTGCAGAGTGAGAGAAGCAAAAGAGGCAATCTTCCCTTGGAAGCAGAGCCGGTGGTCAGATTAGATGGCCCAGGAGGCCCCTTCTGACTTGCTCTGTTTCTATGTTTCTGTGTTTCTAATCTGCATTTTTGCCAGATGGCTGTTTTCAGCCTTCTGCCTAGGTTGCTTCAAAGGAAGCAACTGCCACCTTTGACCCCTTTGGAGGTGGCTTGGAGAGCAGCCAGCCTCATTCTTTCTATGCTAGCTTCAGAGAAGGAGGGGGATCAGCATGCCGATCCCTGCCTCTAAGGTCAGGATGCTGTCTCCAGCCCTGGGTTCGGAATCCAGAGGACATTCTTCCAGGACATTCTCTAAGGGCCCCAGGATCATTCTGACTCCAATAGAGTTACTGTCTGGATAGGGTAAGCGATGCTTGCATTGTTTAAATTAATATATAATGCATACATTGATAGGCTTTGGTTTGATCTTGTAAGTGCCATGACATCTGTTTCCTGTATAGGTCTTTAATCTGTTGGATGAGAAGCATGTCAAGAATTTTCTTTCATTATTTTGAAGCTGTTCTTCTGTAAAGTCCTTGAGTCCTGCACAAGTAGCCGTATTCTTTGGGATGGGCAGAGGTAGCCTGGAAAACTGGGGCTTTCTCCTGTGTGGTTGCTTCTTTCTGTAAAACATGTTCATTCTCCTTCTGAAAAACTGCTTTGTGCTCCCTTTTGATGGAATATAATATAGAATTTAAGGTGACTTCCAGATGTGCATTTTCATGGTTTTTCCTGTGCCCAGTTTGCTGTTCCTGCACAGTTCATACTGGGATGATGTTATGTCCCTTGAGGAAGTAACAGGATGACAATGACCACATTCATACCAATGCTACACCAAGGATGCCCAACCTGGAGCTTGCATGTACACCCTTGGGTTTACTGTGGTTTTCCCCTTGACTAGCTACTGTTGAATTCCCTCCCTGAAAGTTTCCCCACCACCTGTACTCTGCATTCCTTCCTCCAGAGATCCTCATGCAGATTACTCTCTTGGAAGAAAGGAAAAAACAGCATGTAACTGGATTGCTGGGAAGTATGAATGGCTGTGCCCTCTAACCAGTTATACATGGGGCTCTTGGGTCCAAAAATGTTGTGCACCCCTGCACTACATGATGCCTTAGTGCTATGCGGACAACACTTTCATAGGTCTGAGCAAAGCCTTGAGCATGTATGTATCTTGAGCACTGAGAGCTCGTGTTGCACAGTGGTTCTAGGGATCTGGGAGCAGCCATGCAGCTCAGGAGGTTACTTGGGCCAGGCACACACGTGCAGCCTAAGCTATCTCACAGAGTTGTTATGAGGACAAATTGGAGAGAAGGAGAACCTTGTAAGCCACCTTCTGTTCCTTGCAAGAGGAAGAAGACAGGGTATAAATCTAACTGATAACACCATCATCCTCATCTTTCATCCCACTTCCACATCCTATAGATCTGACTTGCCATTATGTACAAACCAGGAATAGTTAAAACAGACTGATTGTGAAACAAAGCCTGGACTGATTTGCCAGCTTGTTTAAATAATGAGAGTTTGCTTTCAACTATAGTTCCTGGTTTATACAAAATCGTAAGCCAGAGGCATTGCTTGAGCTCAAAAAATGCTGTCCATGTAGTGCTAAATTCTGTTCTAGCATTACAGGTGAATTGGGCCACTGTCAAAAACAGCAGTCATGGCACAACATCACCATACCCTGTGGGTATTTCCTGATTGTGTCACTGAGGCAAGGCATATGTGGATGTCAGTTTCTTTTGGAAGTCTCCTCTGTCACTCAAAACTGCTCTGTATTTAGTGCCATATCTAGTTCAGTATTGGAGCATTAACAAAAAGCTTTAAAAGCCCATTCTTTTACCCCCTTGACTAATTTTGACCACCTTGACTAATCTTTTACCACAGAACCCACAGGTGTTTGCTCCTAGGTCAAGGTAGCCAACCACAAATATTGATTGTGCAACTCTTGAGGCTATTTTTACATTATAATAATCAGGGCTAACCCTAACATTAGGCAGAGTGAGGTAGCTGCCCTCAGGCAACAGATGCTAAGAGGTGGCTACAAGGTTTTGTTGTAGAGAGCTGTGTCCCAAACAGTCCACTCTGAGCCCCCAAGCTATTTTGCTGCCATTAGTGGTGGTGGAGGATGCTTTCTCATTGCCAGTGTTCAAGAAAGATTTCAGCTGTCAGTCCAGTCAGTTTTTGAACTTGGAATGGAAATAGGTGCCTCCTGTTACAAAATGTCTTGGCTCTGACAGGAACAGTGTGGCTGCTGTCCTCCCAGAACTTCACTTTATGCTACTCTGAAACTCCAAATATGTAGAAGCCATGTGGGGAGTAGGATTGCATGGAAAGAATTACACTAGTGTAGGTAGGCTGCATTAACATGTCTTTTCCAGCACGGCCTTACCTGTCTGACATGGTCTTTTGTGTCATTTACATTAGCAAGTTAGCACAAGCTGAAGGGAATAGCAATCACACCATTCCCATATTTAGAATCCAGGCTTTAGCCTGAAATATGGGTGTAGAACTGGCTTTCTAAGAGTAAAGCTATATAGACTACTTTTCAAGGAACATCAGTATGTATACTTTCCTTGCAAGTAAATTACAAATTCTGTGGAATAAATGATGAGGGAACAGGGTAAAATGAGTGCTGGCATAAACCAGTTCTTCATTTCAACGTTTTGCTCATGTATAGTGAAGCTTTATGACAAAATATTTTCAGGGGAAGTTGCCTTGTAGCTGAAAACTAAAGAATTGCTAAGGTGAAACCCACTGAGTAGAACAATTGTGTCCTCTTTCTAGGTGGTCCGTCTAACCTGGTGGTCTGTATCCAGGGATTCTGTCTACTACACGCTGTCTGTGATTGTCCTTATTGTGGTAAGGTTTTGGTTTACTGTTTGATCTTCCATTTTATTGTGAAGGACTGAGTTAGGCGTTTTGTCTTCTCCTTATTCACATGAGGAGTTCTTCCAAATCAGTAGATATGGACATTTCTAAATTGCATAGCTTATTTTGAATAACATAGATGCTTGTGGCAATTTAAAGAATAACATTTGTTTTCTGACAAGCTTTCCTGAACATTATCACACTTCATCAGATGCATGTAGTTTTATGGACAGTTTCAAGCTTTTATACAGGTGTGTATAAACTGCCTAGAGAGTCCTAAGGGACTATTAATGCAGTATACAAGCGTAAAAATAAATAAACAAGTGCAGAGATGGCAGGCCTGGTGGGGAAGAACTGTAAGCGGTGAGGTCAGAAAATTCAATGCCAAAAATGACCATCACATAATTAATAGTGGTCATTCACAGCCCAGTTGAAACTGCAAAGACAAAATGTGAATGACACTGTTAATAAAGGGATGGTCACTTTTGGCTTCAAATTCTTTCTGATCTCACTGTTTACAATTCTTTCCCCACCACCACCATATAAAAACTGGAAATTCTCCATGCAACCATTGAAATGCACTATAGTCCAAAAAACATGCCAAATTTTTTAGTCTTTAAGTTGCCACAAAACTCTTATTGTTTTGCAGCAATTAATTTAAATGACTGTCCTCTAGAAAGTGAACTTTAATTCAGGCAACTTATCAAGGGCAGATTCATGATGGGTTTGGGCAGGGGACCTCAGGTAGTCCCCGCTCCCCTGTTGATGAGACTCAGTGGGCTTACTTGGCGGTGGAAACAAGCAGCAGCAATGATTCAAGGTCAAGGTAGCCATTTTCCTTTTCCACAATGCCATTATAGTAATGCTATAATGAGGGCATTATGGGAGACTTACATGGCAGCTGCACCCAGATATCCACTGGCCCAAAACAGTCATCAGCAGTGGGACTTGGCACCTGTTCAAGAGTGCCAAGCACTTTGCTTTGGTAGGGGATAGAAAACCATGTGTTTTAGTGTGCTTTACTCTTAAAGAAATGAATAGTCATAGCGTATGAGTCACCTCCTCTTCTTACTTCTAAAGCTGTGAGAAATTGACTGCTGGCTGCAAAACTTGCAGCTAGAGTTGAGGCAAACCCTGTCAGATTTGTGAACCAAGGCAAGGGGAAGCCCACAAACACTTGCAGATTCCCACTGATGCTGCTGGCACCTTTTTCTGCCTCAGGTGAAGTTGCAGAAAAGGTGGCAGGTGGTGGCATGGAAAAGGTTTGCAGAGAGGTCACAGGGGGCTTCTTTTCTGGTCAGCCCCCTGCAACCAGCCTTCTTTGGCATCACTTTCAGCTGCCCACACAGTGTGTGGGGCTCAATTCCTGGTAAACATGTCCCACAACCCTGGGCGTGCTTTCTTGGAACTTGGACTCAGGACCACTGCAGGGAGCTGAGCCCAGGAAATCTGACAAATTCCTATCCCTGTGCAGTTTCCTCACACATGCAGTGGCACTGCTGGTGCTGAAACGGTCAGTTCATCAACACACTGAAGAAAAAGGTGGGAATATAGTCCATTTATGCACCAGAATCCGAGGTGTACATACTGCTATGGGGCAAACAGCTGGCAAGCATTGCCGTGGGGCAGATGTCCTCCAGGTGTTTTGGATGGCAGTTCCCTTAGCCCCTAACAATTTGGCTATGTTGTCTGGGCCTGAGGGGATTTGTAGCTCAGAACATCTGGAGAGTGACGGTTTGCTTGCCACTGCTCTGCAACATCAAGGCCATATATTGTGCTGCAAAATACCTATTGTTAGAGTGGCTCTGAATTTGACCTTTGCTTCAGAAACAAGGGTGAAGTTCCTAATGTTTATATTAGCTGAGAATGAACATCTGCATAATTCTGTGCTGAGCATTGATTGCTGATTTGGTGATGCAACCTACATTCTTCAGTGGAGTTAGACAAAATATCATTCCTCTTTTTTCTTTTTTCATTCCTTTTAGTTTATATATGATGAAAAAGTTGTATGGTAAGCTGTGCTTTTTTCTTCACATAGTTTGATAATTAGTCTTACACATTGACAGCATATCATTATGCTATTGTTGGGTGGGGAAGGGGGCAGAGATCACATGGCAGAGCAGCTGCCCCATTCTTGGCCCTTCCAGCTCACTGTGGCTAGGGCAGGAAGGTGGGAATGGCGTTTGTGGGAGACAGATTCCCACCTCCAATAACAGGAAATTGCTGCAACAGTTAGGCAGTTGCAGGCCAGTTTCATGTGTATGTTGAATGAATGGGAGAACATTGGAGTCCTGAAGTTGCAGTAACCTGCAACACATATCCAGGATACCTCTGTCCCCCATTGATGGAACACAACTGGAGGGCACGAAGGATGGTGGAACTTGCCCAGAGCCTGTCAGGAGCTCTGTGAAAGCTCCCAAACATGGCTGTTTCACAGAGAAACCTGTCCACTGGCAGGACAGCATTTATGCTGGTTATGTATTTAATTAATTTTATTTAATCTGTACACTGTCTCTCTACCAATAAGAATGGCACTCAGGGTGGCTTACAACCGTTACTAATACTTCTTTTAGCCTGTCAGCGAAGGTAGGATTTCTCCTCACATGTTTTGGGCCAAATGGCAGGAGGACCTCTGCAATGGACCTATGGCATCTTTGCGATGTTGACAAATGTAAAGACATAAATCATGATAGGAGGGACCAGGGAAAAGTCAGATTCATTAAAAGAGGAGGTCAAGTGATTCAGGAAAGGCTTTCCTGATAAAGGGGTCTGAGAAGAGGGAAATAATTTGACAAACAGAGAAAGGAAGACTGCTTAGATTCTAGAGAGAACTTCCTCACAATGCAGAGATTATATGGGGAGAAAAGACAAAATGAAGCTCACAGTTGAAAGGAGTGAATGAGAAGAGAAACATGAAGCACTGAAGTTGACCTTGGCCCATGATTGCTCCTTTTGTGTTAATAAAAGGTAGAAAATACTGCTTGCAATAGTATTTGTTTTACTATGGAGGATAGGCTTTATGATTCAGCAACAGCACTGCTAATGGCCCCCACCTCATTCCTAATTTCCTTCCTTTCATTTCTTTAGGTGGGAAAGCCTTATACTCATCATTATGTATGCATTCTATATACTCATCATGAAGTAAGTGCTCTTGACCTCTCTCTCTGTTCTTTTATTGCGGTGGGCTATCATTCATGTGGGGGGCTATCATTGCATTGTTATTGCGGTGGGCTGTCATTGCATTGTGCTTTGTTACATTGCTAATGATAACTTAGGAAACCTCACTGTCCTATTCTATCACTTGTGCTTTCTGCACACTGGATAGATTGTCTGACTATATCCCTGTAGCTACGAACTGGAACCTGCAGGTTCTTGTGGAATCTGCAGTAGTGCTGAAAAGCACTGCGGCCAAGGGAGAACAACTTCTGTGGAAAGCAGGTTTCTTCGTAACAGCCTTCTGCAAGAACTGCCCCCAGATGTTCATTGTGCCAGCATGGTACTGGCCATGGTGTATGTTGGAGTCCATCTCTTCAGGACACCAAGTCAAGGAAGGAATGTGAAGGAATGCTGCTTTCACCTGAGAAGAGTTACCTCTTCAGGAAGAGCAGAATGCTGATGTGGAATGAGGACCTTCCCTTACCCATCTTTCTCCATCTTAAGAGAACCCAGTCTAAAGGGCTATTGAAGAGCAGAAATAACCAGTATGGGAAATACATAGCTACAGTTTAACATGATCCAACTCAAAAGAAAGCACTTACGAATGTTGCAGATTCAGGGATACTATTTTGGAGTACTGGAATATAATTTTATATTATCTACTGGTATACTGGCTATTTTATATTAGCTATTACTCTTGCAGGGAATAAAGAATTGGCATGCTTGGCAACATAATTCTCTTTCAAACTTTTCTAAAATGATATCCTAAATAATTACATTCGAGTTAAAACATTTCATAGGGGAGAAATGAAGAGTACAAAAATTCATTTGGTTTTGGAATGCAAAAAGTTACATGGATTGATATTACTACTGCAGAGTTTTGTTTATGACCTGCAGAAGTTGTTGTAGTTAATGTGAAATTCTTGCTAGCCTGGGGAGCACTGTTCAGTCTACTGTTTGGGTCTTATAAGTTTTGTGACATTTACTTTGAGGTTATGTAATGGTAAACTTAGCAGCAAATTTCCAAAACATTAGGAATATCAAATAAGCATCTCATGAGAGGAAATAAATAACAAGTCTCAGGGCACAGCAAAAATCTTATTGACAAGTCTTTAAATAAACGGGTGGGAGAGCTTCATGCTGTAACTCCCATGCACAGCCTCTGCTGAAACTAGTTGATCACTCAGTGATAAAGCACATGTTTGGTTGGCAGAAGGTTCTATGTTAAATTCTTGGCATCTCAAATGAAAAAGTTCAGATAGGAAGGATGTGCGACTTCTGCTTGAGATCCTGGAAAGCCACTGCTAATTAAGGAGGCACCACTATCCGGATGGACACATGTTCTGACAGGGCATAGAAGAGCTTCCCAATTCTCTGTGTGCAATTGATGTTACCCAACAGAGAGAAATGGAGATGGCCAGAGGATACCTAGTGTACTCTGTGCTGTGTCCCATAACCATGGCCTATTAAAGGAAGATGGGGCTTGGTTCACCAGGATGAAATGCTTCATCTCTGTCTCAACAAACTTTGTGTGCCTTCCTGCACATAGCCAGCCCATTTTTCTGAGATTATAGTCAGTGGGAGTCTTGTAAATTATTTTGGAGTTGACGGTTATGCCCCTCCCCTTTTTTATGTAGTTCTTGAACCTGACTAGTCCCATGGGATGTTGCCAAAATAGCCCTCTGGACATACATTTTCAACGGATCACTGCAAGCAAAGTAAACAGATATCCTGATAAAAGGACCCTTTCATACATGAGGCAGCGTATTTGTCATTGTGTGTACATAATGGTGACCCACCACACCCAGTCTCACCCATCTAGGTCATGTATCTGTGTATTACTGTTTATCGCATTCCTCCACACATTATGTTTTCATGTATACTATCTACAATGCAAAAGACATGATCCTGCTTCTGAATCCCGTTGAATTTAGTGAGAGAAACTTGTAAGCTGTACAAAAGAAGTGCTTAATTGTAGGCAGCTTAGCTAATGGATATAATATATAATACAGTTTTCAGTCATTGTATGGAATTTGAGAAATCCTTGGGTTGTATCCAACATCATGATAGTGAAAACATTGCAAGAGTTAGTGCTCTTCCATTCACGATTGCACAGATACTACCTGAACTAGCACTGCACAAGCACAAGCTAGTCTAATGATGTAACAATGACTTGTGCAACATAATGCAGTGCCCCGTGCAGTGATGTATGGACCAGTTTACTCAACACCTCACATGATAGTGTGTGCAACCTCATGCTGGCCAACAGATTTTACAAGCAGAACCAAAATATTGGATTTGAAGCACTTTCACAAGACATAAAAATGGGATTTCCACAAATGGTAGATGCTTTATGTTAGCAAAATGATAAAGTGGGTTGCAGCATATTGCGATCCCAGTAGTAGTCAAGACTGGAGAAAGGATGGTTAATAGCAAATGCCAATCTTTAGAAGTCTAGCAGCTTGCATTTCCTCCGTTATCATTATACTTCCAGGTATAATATGAAGATGCAGAAGTTCTTTACAATCAAAAGCATGAATGTTGGGAATGGCAACACTGTCAACAGTGAAATGGAAGATGGTAATGAATCTTATGACATTAGCTGTGGTGACCCTTCGATGCCATTGCTGTGGAAAGGTAAGGCTAAGCAGACAGGAGCTGAAGAAAAGATTGACATTAAAATGCTGTTTTTTAATCATGGTTTGTACCTTGGCCAATTCCCCAACTTTGAAGCAGATTGTCACTACATTTTTCATTTGCCTGGTATTTTGTTTTGTTCTGTTCTGTTTATTATGCTCTCCGTGACTCACATCTGTGGGTTTGTGCCTGTGCAGAATAGGCATTTGGCACACTCTAGAACTAGACAGAGTCTTAGGTGGGAGCCCTGCTCATCTCCTCTGTGCCCACCTCAGGTGTGACACCTGCCTGCCTTTCAGTTCCTTTTCATCCCCTACACTGACCAACAACATTTGAAACATTCTCTTGGCTCACAGCAAAGTCCTCAAAAATTCTACTGTCTTGGGATGCAGAGCACAGTTGTCTTTTCATCTTTCTTTCTTCTTCCTTTCTGATTTTCTTATTTACTTCAGTTCTGCCTTTGGGATGCATGGTTCCAAAGACCTTCTTCAACAATCGCATCTGCTGTTGCAGGAAGACACCATTAACTGGCAAACACTCTGGTTGCCTTCTCTGCCTTGCAGAGGCAGTGGGATGGACTATTGTACCCACTGCCAGGCTTTTATGAAGCAAGCTAGGAGAAATAGAAGAGCATGCCTATGGGGCCCCTTGTGGGGCAAACCCTCAAGGCAGCAGCCTCTAGATCTGTTTGCGAGGAGCTTTTTGAGCTTCCTCCAGCACACAGTATGGAAAGCATCATTTGACACCAAACCCATGCCAGTTTGAGGGCCAGCCTCCATCAGCACAAGGAGCCCCCCAAAATGTTATGCAACCACTAACACTGGTTCTGAGAGGCTTCAACTCCCATGTACTCACCAGATGAAATGCAGTGTCTCACCTTAGTGTTTGAAGATGAATTCAGGGAAAGGTTCTCACCAGAACCATATGATTGCCCTATCTTGAGACTGTTCCCCAAGAAAGTATAGATCCCCTCAGTACCAGCAGACACCACAGTCTCCTCTGACTTTTGGGGAAGTTTAATCCATCATCTGTAATGGAAATGTCATAGGAAACTCATAGATGCTCCTGCTCCTTCCAGTTTCCTTCCTGCTGTTATGAAGAACATTTACTGCCAAGGTGACACCTTTATGAGGCATAGAGGTGTCACTGCTTCACCATTCCCAATGTCAATCTCATTCCTCTCACACTGTAGAACAATCCAAGACAACTTTTAATTTGGCAGTTTTTAACTTCTCACATAGTTTTTGGAAACTACAGTGATACTAAGTGTTACGAGTCTACCTCTTGCTCGCTGCCTCTTTCTTCTGTCAAGCTGCTTTCAGGACATAATCCTGAAAAACTCCCATTCCACCATACACAGGCATCACTTAGCCATCTCTGGACCCTACCATGGAGACACATTCTAATGCCCCTTCTTCAGTGCAGGAGGACAGTCGCTCAGACTCACTTTGTCTGCTCAGGCTTGAACCTCATCAGATGGTGCCATTGGGGATCAAAACACTCTCTCCCTATTGAATGTGACAAAGCCACAGAAGTTTATGTTAACTTCTATGATAGATGATGCTAATGGGCAGCTTTAAAACAAATTTAATAAATGAATGCTTGAATGACTTAATGAGTTGATCTGAAGAGCAGCAAAATGTCTTGGGTCAGAGATTAAGGTCTTGGCAGTTCCAGTCTCAGATCTGGCCTTTGAAAGAATACAAGCAGACTTAGCTCCATCAGTAATTGTCCTGATGCTTCCAGCATCACTGCATGTCATTATACAGTCCTGGGCAAAGCCTTCTACTGTTCACATTTAGAAAAAATAGAGCCTGTATAGGGCCCAAGAAGAATAATCTTTCTTCTTTTTCAAATGCCCTACACCTAACTCCATAATAGTGGAAACATCCCAATCAGAAATGAGACAGGAGTAGTTCAAGAGGAGGGAGTTAGATTTAATTGAGTGCCAGTTTTTTCCATTGAAGCCCTAGCACTCTGGTGAACCAGGAGGCATGTATGGCAACCTGCCAAGACTTATGAGAAAAAGCAGCAATGCTCTTTGATCATCTCCCCAGAAATATTGGAAACCTTGCAATGATTTTCCAAGCTACAAAGGTGGTTTTCAATGCAATGATTTTCAAGTCTACAGGTCTACCTTATGTGGCTCCAAGGCTATAGCAGGCACTGTCTCTTTGAGACATTAGGTTTGGCTTTGATCTTCGGGTCTCCACCAAACACTTCATGGTGAAGGCTTACGTAGCATGTCCACAGATGTTGCTCTTGACTGCATCTAGAAAATGAAGACGTTTGCCCAGAAGATGGAATGGGATCCCAGTACTCAGAGACTACCACTAGTGGATTATTCCTGTTCTGGAAGTGCTAATGCACCAACCTGACTCAACCCTGACCTTGAGTTTCCAAACATGGCTCATCTCCCTTCAAAGAAACTGTTCTGAAATTTCTTGATCCAACTGAACAAGACTTATTCTGTGGTCTACGAAGTATAATGAACTTTCTTCTCTGAAATCTAGAAGTTTAGGTCTTTCCTCTGTCAAAATTTGCTTAGCAATCATACTGGTTAATCATAATTCCCTTCCTACATCCTTATGTTTAATGGTTCCTTAAAAGATCCTGTCCTTTTGTTTTGCTCCTTTCAGTCGAATCCAGTGCAGCTGAGCCTTTTGGAAATTATTAAACTGCAGTAGCACATGTATTCACAAGTTGGGAATAATATCCACAGCATCATTCCTCACAATTAGCTAGACTGGCTAGGATTGATGGGAACTGCAGTGCAACAACAGCTGGAGAGCCATATGCTCCCCATCCCTGGTCTGTGGTTTGCACAAGTGAAAGGCGGGTCATGGGACTAAGCTTTTTTCTTTTCTCTCCCCAACTCCACGTAGTACCCAGTATACCTTTAAAATGTATTCCCAGAACACTGTGGTCAAAATGGTTATGTTGTACAGCAACTGGCTCAAAGAGAGGGTGGAGGCTCCATCCATTAACCCATACTCCTCCAGAATCTTTCGTGTCTTTAGCAGACTCCTTGAGCCCAAAGGACACTCTTCAGATGTATTCCTTGCCAACAACTGCAGGGATCTAGCATTAAACTTCCAGGCAGTGGACAGTTCCTCAGAGGGTTTGGAGTTAACATCAGATCCAAGCATGACAGACTTCCAAAGGTTTTGGAAGGTTTCTGCTTACTGCTGAGACAACTGCTCTTCTTGATATATGTGTAATATACCCAGGGTCTTGATGTGTTTTGCTTTAGTTGTCTTGCCATCAGATGAAATCTAGCATCATTGGATTTGGTCTTAGCACTGCTTTTCTTACTGTTTCCTGAGGAAGCCTAGTGTAACAGCAGGAAAACAGAAAGTATATACTGGACTTCTGTATTCAAATATGTGGAACAAGCATTCTTGCACTTTGATGAGGTGTTGTATTGTGTGCACAGAAGCAGTTATTAGCACCTTAAGGTACAGAACATGTTGCCTTTTGTGGTTGTGACTGTGAAGTCACCAGCAACCCCTGGGAGGAAGTAACAGGAATAATAAGAAATAATTAAAAATTGGGCATTAGCTGATGGGAAAATCACAATAGAAGTCATTATTGAAATTGGGCAATAGCAGCTGATTCTCCATTTTCAGAACCTATTGATGTTTGTCTGTAATAACTAACAAAATTCTTAACTATATAGGGAAGGGTGCATCTCTTTTCCTTTCTTCATTTTTCCTTCTTTCTTCTAATTCTTTTTAAACTAATGCTGCATAGAATAATTAATTTATCTGTCCTTGATTCCTTAACCCTGCAAGGTATCCTTTTAGAAGAAACAAATACATATTCTTTTCCTAATAGTTTACACAGTGGTAATTATCATGAGATTTGTACTCAGATTTTGAGCTGTGAGACCACTAGACTGAAGAACTTTGTTTTTCGTACTTGTCTATTAACTTCAGTTTGGACTTGATTTTTCAGAGAAGAGGGATTAATGAGACAGGTTGCTTATGTATCTGCTACTTTCCAGTGTAACTGATTTGTATAAGTCCAGCCAAAATGAACCTATTTGCCTCATTAAAACTCTGCAATCATATGCTCTTATTTTTATCTCACTTCCCCACAACTGCTTGTTAGCCAGAATTCCCACATCCTTCTGTTGCCCTGATTGGTCTGTAACCACAGCTTCTTGGAGTGGAATTTCACTTTGCTCAGGTCAGTGATCTCTTGAAGCAGGTTCTACTTCTTGCTTTGAGTGCTGCTTCCAACAAGGTTGTCTGTTAACACCTCTTCTGGGTCATTGGGGTTTGGATCTCACCTTAATCTTCTCCAGTATATGAGTGCAAAGTCTGATTATTTTCTGACAAAGAACACCTGCTCTCTGCCTGCTTTATCCTGACAGCAGGTCTGCTGTTACTTGAGGGTGCAGATAAAAGGGAGGTTCACAAAGTGCTGAGCTGCCTTTGAAGCTTGTAACTTTTATTGCTTTCAAGAGCTTTGACTGGCGAAACATAAAAGCTTCTATTACTGGATTCTCATATATAAAGCTTTTCACCCAGAGGAAAATCCAATTTCAGAGACAAGCCTTATTATACACAAGAAGTGAAGATTTGTACTTTTGCTGCTAATGTTCATGTTTTGACAATAATAGAACAGTGGCCGGATGTTCGTGGTTTTCATTGTGAAGGCCTACGCACCTTTCCTAGCCAGTCTGTAGAAACACAGAGTGATGACATACATGGCTAGGTCTGTGTTGTGCAGAGGTGAAAACCTGTTCACATTCTAGCAGGATTGCTTGTTTGTTTGTTGCAGCAAAAGCAACAGTCTTTTGGCACAGAACTGATTTATTATCCAGCCCTCTTCATCAGATGAATGTTATCCAAGTAGACCAAGGTAACCAGAAGAAAAAGAAAACCAGAAGATGTTTACCTCTTTAATAGTCATGTGGAAAAGGACATTTCCAGCAAGGGCCCCTTGAGAGGTAGGAATAGGCAAAGCTCACTTCTCATTTTTTCTTCTTCTGC